AAAACCGAACCGAACCGAACAAACCGAACAAAATTAAAATATGAAATTTTATTTGTTGAATGTAAGCATTAATCTTAATATCATCAATAATCTTTGAATTTCGTGTGCTAGAGAAATAATGTTTATGCTATGTTTAGTTTAGTTTAGTTTATAAATGCATTCACATTCATTGCCCATAATAATACAACTATATTATTGATCTATTATGTCTTTCATGTATGTATGTTGTAATTTGTTGCACGATTATATGTTTTTACTGGTTATTAGTGATAATTAACTTTTATTTTTATGTAACTTAATTTTTCTTTTTGTAACTTAAATTTTTTATATTGATCAAACAAATAAATATTCATCTCAGTTATATCACATAGTACGTATGTATTCATAAACTTTTTTCAAACTGGTCACAAATAATGTAAATTAAAAATAGATACACACTTTTATCTCTCCCGCATACTCATATAATTCAAGAGATTTTTGTTTATTATTATTTTCTTTATTTGTTCAAGTATGCTTGCATTTTTATGTAATATGTTTGATCCCTCCAACTTTTATATCAATTTTAAATCAAATGATAATTTTTTAGTAAAAAACCGACAAACCGAAACCGAACCAAAACAAACCGAACCAATCAAACCGTGGTTCCAAGTTTTGGAGTGTAAAACCGAATCGAAACAGAATCGAACTTTTACTTTGGTTCTGTATTTGGTTTTAGGTGAAAACCGAACCGAAAGAACCGAACTCACCCCTACTTTTAGGTGTATGAAATAGAGTGGCCTTCACCCTAGGCTCCTGGGGGGCCCAGCATTGTGGACTTAGAAAATTCCCATGGCATTTGTATCTAGTAGCCGTCGGTATAAATGTGAGGTTAGTTGATTTTGATCCACTTGTATGAAAGGAGCCTCCGGTGTTTATTGTAGGGCAGGAGGCTGTTGTTGCTTGGACTTTAACCAATTCAACCCCTTTGTAAGATTAGAGCCTTCGGTATTGGTTGATGTCGGAGGCAACCAGATTGCGAACTTAGCCACATTTTGGTAACACTTGTTGAGTAGTAGCCTTCGGAATAAGGACCACCGTCAAAGGCGATTTCCTGAATAAGAGCCTTCCGATATTCGGTTGATATGGGTAACCTCGAGCGCAACCGAACGAAAGAACTTGTGAGGAAGAGATCCCGCAAAGGTAAATCACATATCGGCTCTTCATCTCAAAGTCGAGATGATTTTGATACGGGTTACGCAAGGAGGGATGGGGATGCGATGACCGACGAACAACTAGAACAAGAATTGCACCGACATAATTCCCGCTTTTTTCAAGACCAACCGAGGACCATTGACGAAGAAGAGCTCGAGAACGATGATGTGGAGGAAGTAATTCCAGAGAGCCACGACGACGACGAGGAGGAGGGTGGCGGCAGCCACGACGCCGACGAACCTGCCTCATCCCAAACCGGTACGAAAAAAAGTAAATCTGAACTAATGGCTAATAATTTTTCTAAGTGGAAGGACCCGAACACCGGGAATTGGACTACAACTTGCAATTGGTGCAAGAAAAACTATAGTTTGGGGATTTCCGACGGATACGGATCTGCCACAAGACATCTTAAGTCCAAACACCCGGTGGAGTATGCAAAATTAGGGGGCGGAACGGGGAAGCAAACTCAAATATCGAGGTTTGCAAATAACCAACAAGCTTTTGGTAATTTATCATACAATGATGCACAAAATTTGACTGGTATGGCTAACTTACTTGTTGAACAAAATTTGCCTTATTTGTTTTCTGAAAGTCTTGCTTTTCGTGATTATGCACAAACTTGTTTAAATCCACAATATAGAGGTTATAGTCGCAAAATGGTTAAGAAAGAAATTTCAAGGCTTTATGGTGCGGAAAAGGTAAGGTTACAAAATTATTTTGCAAACTTTGATGGGCGTGTTACTGTATATTCTGACATATGGGAGGATACTTATCATAATTTACATTATTTGGGTCTGACTGTACATTATATTGATAATGATTGGCATATGCATAAACGTGTTCTTGCTTTCCGTGAATTTAATGATCGTCACACCGCTGAACATATTTATATTTTGATTGAGCGTATTTTAATTGAGTATAATTTAATTGATAAGGTGTTTGCTATTGGTTTTGATAATGCTACTAATAATACTGCTGTTATTCCTAGATTGCGTGAATTGTGTGGTAGATTTATGTGTGCAAGATGGTCTAAAAGCGTTGGGAGCATCTTTGGAGTTAGTCAAGGGGGGATTAGACGTATTTGGGGTAATGGACAACTTAGGAAAAATGGCATGATTATTTGATAGAAAGAGGTGAGAAATATGTGGCTTTTCCTAAAGATTTGTCTATTCGTTGGAATAGTACCTATAAGTTAATTGGAGTTCTTCTTAGATATAAACAGCATTTTCCTGCTTTTATGAAACAATATGATAACTATATTATAAACTCGGCTGAGATCGACACCTGTGAAAAAATTTGTAATGCTTTGATATATTTTAATAATGCAACTGAAACTTTTAGTCATGTTTATAAACCTACCTCAAACCAATTTATTCGTGAAGCTGTTAATCTCGCCGGTGCTTTTTCAAATTTTGAGAATGTTGATTATGTAAGTTATTTTGCTAGTTTTATGAAGGAAAAGTTTTTAAAATATTATTCACATATTCGCATATTTATGGTATTGCATTTTTTCTCGATCCTCGTTTTAGACTTGATTCTTTAGAAGAATGTTTGAATTATTATTATGTTGCTTTTTTTGGTCCATTGCCAATGTATGAGGACAACCCAATTGATCCGAAAAAAGAATACAGCGAGGTTAGTGATATATTTTATGCATTATTTAATGAGTTTCATGCACAATATGGCAATGCGCCCCCTCCCCCGACACAAACATCATCTAAAGGAAAATCAATTTTCAAATCTACATTTGCCAATCTTATTAAAAACTAAATCAACTCCCGCTACGCAACAAAGCACAATTAATGAGATTTCTTTATATTTAACATATGATGTTGATTTTGAAGAAGATGATGATTTTGACGTACTAAACTGGTGGAACTGTGGAAGGGAAAAGAAAGAATGTTCCCGGTTTTAGAAAAGATGGCTAAGCAAGTGCTATCAATGTCAGTTTCAATTGTTGCCGTGGAACAAGAATTTAGTTCGGCCGGCAATGTCCTAACGCAATGTAGAACGAGGTTGAGCGCAGAATCTCTTGAGATGCTTATATGCTACCACGATTGGTTGAAAGCGGCCCGTAGAGCTCAAGAAATTGACATCACCACATCCCAACACTTTATGGATGAATCTACAACCGAGGGTGGCTCTACCTATGTCGGAGATTTCGATTGAATGATTGATTAGTATTTCATGTTTTAATTTTACCTTCAATTCTCAATTGTAACTTGTAAACTTGTAATTCATATTTCAAATAAATATACGTTCATTTTTTTATATGTAGCATTTTTTTTAATTCATAAAATTAATTAATTAATTTTACATTATGTAATTTATTCAAAATAAAACATACACAAAAAATTTGAAAACAAAAGCCCCAAACGGCTATATAACCACTTTGGTAGTTTGGTTGTTTGAAATTTGAATCAATAGAGGCATAGAGCCGTTGGGGGTGGGGGTGGGTGGGGGTACAAAAAATTCTATAAATACTCTTATTTTCTAACATTTTTATACACATCTTCTCCAACATCCAATCTCTAATCTTCATTCTCCATCTTCATCTCCATCTATTGTAGAATTATTATATCTACCATTTTTAAGATGGAAAGTCAAGATGCCGTTATAAGGTATAATTTTGAAAAGCAGAAGGACCCGAACACCGGGATGTGGTACGCAACTTGCAAATGGTGCGAGAAAAAATGTAGCATGGGGGTTTCAGGCGGATACGGGATGGCAATGAAACATATTAAGTCATGTGACAAAACCAAAGGATCGGGAGGTGCGGGAAGTTCCGATTGATTACAATTTACAAATGTATGTTTCTCTTGAAGTTTGTTTTAATTTTCAAATGTAGTTCCTATTTCATTTCAAATAAATGCACTTGAAGTTTGTTTTTAATACTTGTATAAAACTATAAAGTATAAATTATAAAAAAAAATAGTTTAACCGGCCAGGCCTGGCCCGGCGGGTGGCCCGACCCGTGACCCGGGCGGGTGGCCCAGCCCGAACCGGACCCACCTAACCCTCGGGTAGGGATGGACTCGGTTCGGGCCGGGCCTGGTTCGGGCCGGGCCTGGTTCGGGCCTTGAACCGGCAGGGCCTCGGTTCAAGGTATGGGAGGCCCGGAACCGGCCCGGGTAACCCCCGGGTCCGGGCCGGGCCTCGGTTCTATTTTTTTTTTTTTTTTTTGGGATTTTCCTAGTTAACCCCCAACCCTCCCCCTCACCCCCAAACCAACCCTAACCACCTCAAATGGCCCAAAATACCGAGCCCAACCCAAAAACTTAAAAAAATTCAAAAAAAAATTGGCCCGGCTCGGACCCGAACCGGCCGGACCGGTTCACCTTTTGAAGGGCCCGAACCCGAACCGCCATCCCACCGGACCGGATGGCCCGAACCGGCCAACCAACCGGTTCACCGGGCTGGTCCAGTTCCGGGCCGATAGGCCCGGCCCGAGTCCACCCCTACCCTCGGGCCGGTCCCGGGTCCATGAGATACAAACTGGCGGCCCGACAGGGCCTAGGCCCGGCCCGGGCCCGAGTCCACCTCTAGGTTCGTGGAAGCCGAGTTAGAGAACGGGAAAGAGGTGGAAATCAAATTGAATATCGGTCTTTCTTGGGAGGGAGATTTGGGTGGGAAAAAGACCGGTGAATCTGGCAGGGTCTTCTTCCCTGCGGAGAGTCCCTGCCGGAGACAACATCGAATCCGAGATTGGGAAGGACATCTTCCCTGCAGGTGGAGACGAAGGAGGAGTGGAGGAAAACGAAGGAGTTACAGACTTAGGCTAAGGGGAGGTCGAAGAAGCACAAGAATTCACGTAGGGTCAGTGCAAACAGCACTTTTCATTACAATCAGACGACCAGTAGCCGCATGACTGCATTAGAAGCACGCACGGCCCAAGAATAAATAATTACTAGCACAAATGTAAGATAAACTAAGCAGGAAGATAAAATAAATACTATTCAAGTCATCATATATGTAAACAACACTCGTTACTGCAGTTGTTTCGGATATTTAAGAAAAGAAAAGAAAAATAAAAATAAGAGGCAAACAAAATTTGCAACAGTAGCGATTTTCATCAACAATGACCAAATTGGAAAGGAAATCGGACTCTCCTTTTTGTACTACACATGAAAAAGAGCCTAAAATAAATAATATATCAACCTAACTCCATGTGAAAGGAATAGGGGAAACATTAGACTTCTCCAGCGCGTCAGAGAAGATCTGCAACATTTGCAGGCAGCTCCTCTACAGTAACATTATAGAACTTCTGTATGTCACCAAGCATTCTCTCATCTTCTTTAGTCACAAAGTTGATGGCAACACCCTTCCGCCCGAACCGGCCACTACGCCCAATCCTATGGAGATAATTCTCGGGCTGAGTCGGAAGGTCAAAGTTTATCACAAGTGACACCTGTTGAACATCAATACCTCGGGCCAACAGATCAGTGGTGATTAGGACACGAGAAGAACCGGATCGGAACTCCCTCATGATGATGTCTCTAGTGTTCTGGTCCATGTCACCATGGGTGGCAGACACTGTGTGGTCCCGGCCACGCATCTTGTCAGTCAACCAGTCAACCTTCCGCCTTGTGTTGACAAAAATGACACTTTGGGTAATAGCCAATGTCTCATAAAGATCACAGAGTGTTTCTAGCTTCCATTCCTCCTTGTCAACATTGACATAGAACTGCTTGATGCCTTCAAGGGTAAGTTCATCACGCTTCACAAGAATCCTGACTGGTTTGTTCATGAACTTCCTGGTGATTTCGAGTGCCTCTGGTGGCATTGTGGCAGAGAAAACACCGACCTGGATCTTTGGTGGTAACAGCTGGAAAATATCATAGATCTGAAAAAAGAACAAATTTCAAGTTCCCATCATAATGTAGACACGAGTAAATGTAGGTTTTGCACAAGGAGAGACCGGTGCACATTGGCACCCCCGCTAGATAAGGGGGTTTGGGGAATGGTCCCACCTTGAAGGTGTAGGAGGCCAGTCTGTCCTTGACATTTTTTATAAGTGGCTGCTTCCAGGACTTGAACCTGTGACCTCTTGGTCACACAAAGACACCATAACCGGTGCACCAATGCTTCTTTTCTAGGTTTAGCCCAAGTACTTCTATAAAAAACTCAGTGTACAATGTAAAAAATTGGGAATAGTGCTTTTGGATATTTTTAATGGATTGAATATCTTCAAAAGGAAGATAAATACTATTACTACCAATTAATTGAGGCAAATAGGGAAAATGTACTACTTAAAGTGCCCAGCTTGATATAGTGGATTAAAAGAGCACTTAGAAATGCATGCATGACAGCATGAGAAACAGCTGCAATAAAGAGCAACAATGCCAAAAGTTATACTAATCAGGCCCTGTCCTGTTTTAATATCATACCCTTCGTTATCTTCCAGCGAAAAAAACTTAAATTAAAAGGCAATTCTGATAATAAGCTAAACCACTTCAAACTTTCACTCTTTCATACAACTAGTAAGACTACAACTTCATTTAACATCCCAATTAAAAACAATTGGTAAATGAATTAAAGTGGAAGAGAAAAACCTGATCTTTAAAACCTCTAGACAGCATTTCATCAGCTTCGTCCAAAACAAACATCTTAATGTGGTCAGGGCGAAGGGACTGTCTGCGCAACATATCAAACACACGTCCTGGTGTGCCCACCACTACATGAACGCCACTTTGAAGAATCCGTTGGTCTTCACGTACACTGGTCCCACCAACACATGCATGAACTTTCACACCAAGGTAGTCTCCAAGCGCCCTCATGACCTTCTCAATTTGTTGGGCAAGTTCACGTGTGGGTGCAAGGACAAGTGCCTGACAGTCGACTAGGGTGTAATCCAGTTGCTGGAGGATCCCTGAGCAGAAAGTTGCAGTCTTTCCGGTTCCGGATTGTGCTTGTTGAATGACATCTAGACCTTTGCAAAAAGGCACAATACCGCGTTGCTGGATTGCAGAGGGCTTCTCAAAACCTTTAAAAAATATTCAACTGACCTTTTCAGATTTAAAATTCTTCCATAAGCAATTAAGGTCTGTTTGCAACAAAAACATACCACAGAAACAAAATTGGGTGGAAAATAGGAACAAAAGATAATTTAAGGGATTTAAAAGAGAACTAAACATGAACAGATTTAATTAACAATAGTTGCTAATGTATTTCGATTATATACGTGTGCCGTGTGAAGGTTGATTTGTTTGACCCTCTCCCTCAATTTATTACTCCATGCGTCCCATTTCATAAGAAAAACATTCCTTTTTGGATTCTCTCAAATGAACATTTTCCTAAATTGACTGAATGCTATACATAGACTGAAAAATATACAACATTATTTCTAAGACTTAATTATATTGCGTATCTCTATACGGATCTTTGTGGTATATCTTTTCCATTGCTTGGTATTTTCAGATGCATGCACAGTAAAATACCTTTTGAAGTTAGGATTCAATTAAGAATTAAGAATATATAATACAAACTTACAAAGTATGATTATGATAGGGACACGGGGCATGATTTATTAATATTTAAAAAAAAAAGGCTTTTCAAGAATAAAGATTTTCAATTTTTCTACTTATGAAAATAATTTCGCATCAAAATACACCAGAAACCAGAGTTCGATATCTAAAAGATTACCATAAGCATAGATGCCTCTTAGCAGGTTTTCTTGCAAATTCATAGAGTCAAAGCTGTCATAAACCTCATCGTAAGATGTAAAGAAATCTTGTCCATCAGCTTGCCTGCACCCCAATAAATAATACAAATGAAGCAACAATTATTACCAACCAAGGAAATACATAGAAGAGCACTGATAAAACTTACAACTCAGTCATTTTAGCATCATATTGACGGGCATCAAATTGAGAAGCTTCAGGTGCCAGTCCAGCCATACTGCAGGTAAGAAAAAAATACATAAACGTTCAACAACTAAATAAACTCATGGTCTCGAAAAAATCACTTGAAAACAAAAACGCAATCAGATATTTACGTCTTAATACTTAAAAGGGAATTCATTTGAGATAAATATATTCATTATAATGTCTGCTTAGCATGTAAAAACACATAAAATGACCAGCTCTATTCTAAATATAATAGATTCTTGTTCATATGAAAAGAAACCATTTTTTATCTTGAAGAGATTAGATTCTTGTTTAAATGCCTTCTTCAGAAGTACTACTGCTCTCGGTGAGAAGCTTATCCATGAAACAAATACAGCGAAAATACTAATTTACATCACATTCACTCAGCTGAGAGAGAAGAACAAGCTGCAAATTATTACACCACATGCGACCAACCATACTAATAAAATACATGAAACCAAATAAGATATCGACACGATTGCAAGAAAAAGCAAAAGAAATAAAGAAACACAAAATAAATGATAAGATCAATTTTCCAGATTATTTAAAAACAGATCTTTCATGTAAGTTAAAGAAATCAAAACAGGTTTTACAACTCCAATACCATAGGTCAATCGTTCAAGCGCAAACATCAACTAAGGAGAACACACATAAAAACTGTAAAGTTGCAACCTTTAATCCGGAGTCTTGATGGTGGTTTGTAATAGATCTAAAAATAATTTACGATAGATAAAATCATCTAAATTTGTGCATTATGTCTGTATGCTGAAACAATACTTGACATTATTACTTGATAAGGTGTAAATTGAAGCAGCAAAGAATGAATACGGTGACGTACCTGGATCGGATGTGTAAGAACGGTGAATTGTCAAAAAGGAGGACAAGGGAAGGCTTATATATCTTGTTCATATAATAAAAAACGATTTCTAGGGTTTAATAATTGTAAAAAAAAATGTTGGGCTTTGGGCAGAGGGCCCAAAAATCGACCGCAATCTCGTTCACTTTGGCTTGCGTAGTTTGTTTTAGTACGAGTAAAATGAGAAGAAATTAAGAAATGAAAATTGGCTGATTTGGCTTATTCTGCTGAAATTTATGAAATTCTGGCTGAAGTGACTGCATTGGCTGATTCTGCTGATTTAAGAAAAAAATACTTTTAAAATATATTTTATTGATAAAATAAAGAAAAAGTTATATGTAAAAATAGCTAAAATAGTCATCTACAGTAACTTCAGCCAATACGGCCAGAAAAGTAACTTCAACCTTACTTTTTCTGCTTATTACACAATTCAGCGCGCGAAAGCAAAAATTACGTGTTTGGTGAAAAAAGTTGGTTGATAAGCTTGATAAGCCGATAAACAGTGTTACCAAACGGCCCCAAAAACTAGAGGTAATTACCTAAATGGGAGTAAATACATCTTTAATGGCCAAAATAGGACTAAAGTTTAAAAATTCCCAAAATAGGAGTTATTATTTGTAATTGGACAAAAACACCCCTAAAGCTTGGAAATCCTACTGCCACCGACCACAACGCCGAACCACCGCCTGTCGTCGGTCGCCGCCGGTCGCCGACGATCGCCACTGGTCGCCGCCGGTCGCCGACGACCGCCGCCGGTCGCCGGACGTCTCTGCCACCTCTAAAACGGCCACCGTTGTAGATCTGACCGCCGCTGATGTAGATCCGGCCACCGTCGCGGCTAATCTGGAATCTCCCGCTGCAAATCTAGTCTTTATCGTTTCAGATCTGGCCTTTCCCGACATGAATGTCAACATTTTTATCAAAATGCCAAAATGAATCAGGAATGCCATTTTAATGGCATTTTCAATGGAAAATACAAAATTTTTGTAAAATAAGAATGCCATTTTGATGGCATTTTCAAAGGAAAATATAAAATTTTTGTAAAATAAGAATGCCATTTTAATGGCATTTTCAGTGTTGAACTTGGTATTTTTTACCAATCAAAGAAGAAATCGAGCATCTACAATGAAATAGAAGAGGGAGAGAACTAGAGAAGAGTGGAGGAAGGAGACAACCTACCTTCGAAGAAGAGAAGATCTCCGACAGCGACGGCGGCGGTGATGGCTATGGGCAGCGGCGGAGGCTCAAAGCTTTGGTCAGCGGCGAAAGGGGAGGGAGAAGATGGAGTGTGCGCAGTGGCGGAGGACTTCACGTTAGTGGCGGGTCAGCGGCGAAGGGGAACGGAGAAGAAGCGGTGAAGGGGAAGGGAGAAGAAGGAGTGTGCGCAAGGGGAGAAGATGCGCAAGAGGGAGAAGGCGCAGGGGAGAAAAAGAATGGTGAGGAAAGGGGGGAGGAGAAAAAATAGAGGTAAATGGGTAATACAGTCCCATTCAGGGAAAAAATATATGTTTAGTCCTGTTTAAGAGATTTAGAAAGAATTTAGTCCCTTTTAGGGTAATAATTCTAAAACTAAGAAAAAGTGCACAAACAAATTTGAAAGTGGATCTAAAGTACTATAAACTAAAGCATTATTTGTATTGAAAAATAACTAAAGTGCTCCTCTAAAAGTACTTTAACTGATTCTCGCAGAAAAATAACTTCAACATTAGTTATTTTATTTTATACAATCGAGCGCGTGAAATTAAAACTCATGTGTTTATTAAAGAAATGATTAATAATGGTGATAAGCCGAAAAAACACGATCACTAAACGGGCCTCTAATGCTTGAGATATGTGTTGTACAGGGTTTAATATCCAAATATGTTCTTATACAGTGGATAGTTCTAGTGACATCCCTTTCTAAAATGTGAAATTTTTATTATTAGAACTTTTAATTTCAATATTTCATTTATTACAATCATTGGCTAGTGATGGATGGTGTACCCGGGGGGTATCTATCCGAGGGGTTACTGCGGGGAGTAACTTAGAGAGAAGTCAGAGCAAATCAGTAAGAGAGAGTAAATTTGAATATATGAGTTATGTATTCAAGGCGTACTTTACAATGGGGAAAGGGGTTGCTATTTATAGTAGCAATAAATGCTAGATAGGGGCACGTGTCAACAATCTGGTGGTCGGCGGGTCACCTCAACTGGGGTGGCACTGGCACTCGCATGTGGCCGCATTAAATGCGGTGGTTGGATGCGACGTTTGTACTTGGTACGTTGATCCAGCTCATGTGGAGAGGAGATCATGTCGAGGAAGATGCCTTCGGCTGTAGATGACAGTCTGAAGGCTCTGCGTACCGGGGGCCTCATAGTGCCGAGGGCTCCAATTGTTGAGGGCTTGGTTTTCAAGCCTTCTTTTCCCGTGATGTTGCTGAAACTAATTCTGGTACTGATAGCCTTTGGTCATGGGGCCGAAGGCACCCCTTCATGCATTGTGGACTGCTTAGGGCTCCATTCTGCTGGACTTGGTCCGTTTTGGGTCTGTTGGGCCTGAATGTAATAGTGGAAGTATGTGGGTCGGGGGTCCCTGGGCCATATACTCCATCAGGAGTCCCTCACTCCTTTTGCCGAAAGGTACTTGAGGGAAAAGGAGTAATTGCGTTAGTCCTTTGATGCTGGCGTTTTGCTTTGTAGTTTGTGGAGTTTGTGAGGAGTTCTTCATCTGCATGTTCTGCCAAGGGCAGTTCCTCAATCCCCACATTTTGGGATTTGAAGGATTATGTGATTTTTCATTTTTGTGAATTTCCCGAAGGGGTCTACCAGTCCCCCACTTTCGAGGCACATGTGATGTGGTGAAGAGGAGTGTAGCAGTGCTTGTCTTCAGTATGGGGCCGAGGGCTGACTATTTTCATTTCATTTTAGGGGGATGCCTAGTTAAAAACCTCATTAGAAAAAACCCTGTGGGAAAAAATTCTAATGAGGGAAAAGAGTGCACCGAATTCCCCTAATGATGAATCGAAAAGGTTAACCCTTGGTCTGAGTATAATGCCAATGCCGACGGTCGCCCTTGATTTGGGGGCTTGCTTGTTGATTTCCCGGAGGCATCCTTTCGATGTCCTGGTGATACCGAGGGGAGTCCCTCTATTATTGGGGCCGAAGGTGTGTTGTCATGGGTGATAGTTCATGTGTTGCCGAGGGGGTTCCTTAGCTCTTGATAAGTTGGAGGCTGAGGGGTCCCGAGGGGTTCCGTTATTTTATGCCGAAGGCTACCACTGATGAGGGGCTTGACGGTGTGGCCCCTGGGGGTTTGCACAGAATGGCCCCGAGGGGTTCCCTGATCCCCACCATGTTGAGGGCTAAGGGGTCCTGAGGGGTTTTCCCGTTGTGAATCCGTGGGCTCCCCTTGATGGAGTAGTCTGAAGGAGTTATCCCGGAGGCATGCATATTGTTGTCTGAGGGGTGACAGCTGAGGGCGTTTCTGCATCCTCAAAATATAGCCGTTGTAATATGACCGTTGGAGAAGGCGTCCACGTGGTGTGTTCCCGTTGGCTGTCCACGGGCGGGATCACCGGTTGGCTGAAGCGGCGGTGTGCGATGATGATTTTCCTCTCAGGGGCCCGGTTTTTTGCCAAAGCCCGTGTGACACCCCGAAAATTTAAATAAAAATAAAAATAAATTTTTTAGTACGATAAAGTGTTATTTTAATAAATAAGTGAATTAGATTGGTGACATTTTCAATAATAAAAATGACAATTTAAGAAGTTTTAAATCACGATGATATAAGTTAAATTTAATGTGTACAAAGATGACAAAGTAGGTACATAATACATACACGTACAGTATTGTACGCAACACAATTGTGGAGTAATAACAAAGATTTAAGTTGACTATTCTACTCATATCACGCATACGCAACAAACTATATACTCCCTCCGTATTAGTATATAAACATAGATAATAGCCGCTGAACCGCGTATGACCGGCCGTACCTGCAAATTAAAGGGGTCAGGAGTAATGATATTAATGAGCTTAAATATAACACGAACCGTTACCATGTACGAAGCTGACTGATAACCAACGGACGAGAAGGAACGTACGTGTATATATATACCGCAACGGACACTTCCTGTATGCGAAGCATTTCCATTTCCTTATAGGTAAACCTACCATATACATTTAGCTAACAAAGGAAGCAGCATTTAAGTAAAAATTTAATGGGGAAGATTTGGTAAACGTATGAAGCGTACATGTAGTAGTATATGTATACCTCCTTGCGCAGACCTTACTCCCATATACACATGTCCGCCGAAGAAAGTGAGAAAGAGCTGGGGAGAGGGGGAGCGCCGTCGGCCGCCGGAGAAGGTAAGGAGCTCGCCGGACTGCACCCATGCCGGAGGGGGAGGAAGTAACGAAGTCATTGCCGCACCAGGCCGTCAACGTCGCCAAAGGGAGTGCCGGGCTGCCTTGTCGCCGAAAAAGAGGTCTAAGACCGCCGGTAGAGTCCTGTTGCAGGCCTGCCGTGTTCTACGTGAACCGGGGTACCACTCTGTCTCCTCTCTGCAGAAGATGTACCTCTGGCCAAGCCGCCACCACCATTGGAGACCGCCGCTGATGACGGAGGTGAAACAGAGCTTGCCGGCGAAGCACCCAGCTGTGCGCCGGACTGTTCTACCGGAGGAGATGGAACCAAAGTCAACTGGACCGCTACTGTCTCCCATCGAAGCCGCCGCTGATCCCAAATGCCAGTTGAGGACGCCGCAGGCCGACCACCATTGAAGATTGGAGAAGTTACCGGCCGGCTGGGAACGACGAGAAAGAACATACGTACGTACTTCATACTCCGTGTTATGTATTGCTATTATGTACTTGGGCCGGTAGTTGGGCTGGGCCAAAACTCTTGGGCTGAATAATAATAATAATAATAATAATAATAATAATCTGCAAAATTGATAAGTTTGACATGGGAAATATTAATGATGAAATTGGCTTGATTAATTGATAGTAATCACTTGGATGAATTAGTTAATTGACAAAATTAAATAATGTTAGATGATAAAATGAATTGTTGGTTAATTGATATTACATTAAAATAATAATTAGTTATTTTGATATTTTGATTTAGTACCATAATTAGATTAAATA